CGCTCAAGCTCCTCAACCCTTGACCCTAAACTCAAGGCTCAGGCCGCCCACCTCCGTGGGTGGGAGGCACTTAAGCCCCTCGACCTCGATGGCGCAGAGCGATCCAATACGCCTGCCCGCCTCCCCACAGCCATGGGGACGGTAGCACCCACGTCCGGCCCGGTACCGGAGCAGGTTCTTGTCGGGACGGGGGAAGGAAGATCAACGTGTACCAGTCCCGAGGGTCAAGGTTTTTAAGACACTTGCGGCCTTTCGAGGCCAACACAACTGCAGGCGGAAAAGAGGCCCTCCAAACAAAAGCAAACCGAAACCATACCCTGATCCCTGAATCCTAAACCCTGAACCCTGAACCCTGAACCCTGAACCCGAAACCCTAAACTGCCAAGGAGATGCAGGCCTGCGGATGGTCTCCAGCCGGTGCCTGCTTTTGGGTTTAGGGGCTTAGGGTTCACGAGTTTACTGCAGAGGTTCAAGGTTTAGGTTTCTGGGTTAGGGTTACGGTTACGGTTTTGTTTGGGGGTTTAGGGGTTTAAGCTTGAGGTTTTGATTTTTGGGAGGGTCGGGGCTTGCGGGGTTCAGGGTGTAGGGTGTAGGGTGCTGTCACGTTGTATTCCCGAGAGAAAGTTAGGTCAAACGTGATCATCATCACACCTGTGCTATCCAGCCTCACATCCTCGCGATTCTTCGCGCATCTCAGGATCTTAAGGAAGCTTGGCAAACGCAGCGGGCTCCCTAGTCAAAAGAAATGGTCACAGCCAAAGCATGCCAAAGCAGCACTGGCTATCAGACTTGAGTTCCATCCCGCGCCAAGAAATCCGAACCAGCAGCTCGCAAGCGATCCGGGCTGAGCCCCTATCCAATCTGATGAACCTACTGTTTAGGGTTTAGGGTTTAGGGGTGTGCAAACTCCGAGCCGAACCGAAAGCTGAAGAAACATCGGAATCGGACGCCTTGCTGTGCCAGGCCTACCGTGGACCAACTTTCTGAATCGGAAACTTGGTCAGCCAGCAGCCGGATACGGACGTGACCGCCGCAGTTTTTTTGGAGCAATCCAGGATTTCGGGTAAGAGTTGAGGGCGATGACGTAATGCTTTGCTTCACCTGAGGAGAGAAGCTGTCCAAAAGGTCTGCAGGCACAGCGTTCACGACCGGCTTTTCTCACGAGGAAGGCAACAACTTAGTTTGCCTGCTCGTGCTCTCGCTAGGAGAAGGGCCGATCTGCCATCGGGGCAGGATAAACCCTGAACGACTCCTATGCTGTGCAAAGCGATGTGATCATCGCCCCTGGTGCTCCTTAGCTGCTGACACACTGCAGGTTCCTGATTGCAGCTGGGTCAAAGTGCCCAGTTTGCTGTGGAGCCGGATCGGTTGTCTCTCTTATTTGACAGGGGAGTCGGTCGACAAAAGGCTCGTGCCTTCAGTAGGTACGCCTCGCGAAACAGGGGGACGGGAGGGTGAAATATCTGTGGTCACAGAGCGTCGCTTCCAGAAGCCAAGAAGTCTTTTCACTCTTGCCTCAAAAGCTGCTCCATACTATAGCAAAGGTTGTCGTTGCACGCTGAACACCCCGTAGGTGAGCCACGACCTCTTCTTTGGGTGCTCTTGACTTGTGCATGCTAGGGAGCGCATCACACTGAACAGAAGTAAATGTTATTGTCGTTTGCGTGTGCAGGCGCGGAGATGTTCTGGCCACTGTCCTAGTCCTAAGCAAACTCAAGGCAGAAGCAGTGGTAACGACACGATACGGCAGGGACATCGAGCATGTAGTGTTGGTGTTGCTGCCCTACAGTCTTTGATGTTTGAAGCGGAACTTTCTCACGGTCAAACTTTCCCACCCTGTTTCCAGGCCCTGCAAATAATTCACTCAGCATCGAAGAATTTATGCTGCATTTGGACGGTGGCGATGACACAGCATTCGGTATTCAGCCGATCTTTGCTGTAAGGTGGAGCTGCAGTTGTTCGGTTGTGAGCATGGCTTTTCAAGCTCGAGTTGTCGGAGAATCTGCTCGCTTGATGGCCGTGAGCTGCCTCCACCTGCCTCCGTCGTCACTGCTTTATCAGCTGCGCTGCCTATGCCCTCAGCAAACGAGAGGGACAGCCTTTTTACAAGCATCATGTCTTCATAACGACGAGTCGCATGCAGCAATGCCAAAGAGGTCCCTGCGCCGAGGTAGTTTTCAAGGGCAGGCACAAACTTGAACGTACAGGAGTGTCTGGCAGTGTCGTACAGTAAAGCCGGTGAGGCTCCGACGTTCTTTTGCTGGAGTTTCCCAGTCGAACTTAAGCCTGCGGACGGTGCCCACTTGTGGGATGTCCAAGCATGACCCGATGCCGAGCTGACTGGTAGCGTCAGGTCTGCCACTAGGATCATATATATATATATACATATA